CATTTTAGTGAAAGACAATGGCAACGTTTCTCTCTCAGCAACCGCTACTGTCATTATCAAACTTGTGGAACCCAAAGAGGCTTTCGCAGCTTCTGATGTTAAAAGTACAGCAACAGATGAAGAAAATAACAATGTGACCTTTTACCTGATGATAACTTTAGGTGCAGTTTCTGTTCTTTTTATCATCAGTATCGTTGTACTGATAGCTATGCAGTGCTCCAAATCCACAGACTATACTTCGAAATATCTCCAGGAGACTAATTATGATGGAACACTATGTCACAGCATCCAGTACAGATCTGGAGACAAACGTTACATGTTAGTTGGACCAAGGATGAGTGTTGGATCTACTATAGTATCTGGAAGTCATGCAAATACACTTGTGCTTCCTGATAGGAGAAGAGCTACTGAAGAGGTAAGTCAGGCTTTTGAAAATCAGTTTATTGCTATTTTAACTGCTTCCTCACACTTGTCCTTCCACTGATTCCCGGCATATATATTAACTGCTATTATAAATAAAGCACACCATATCAGACATGGATTTTTTGTTTTAAAACTTGTTTATTTATTTATTTATTTTTATATATTTAAAATGTCTTATTTTGAGTCTGGTAGCTCAAAGAATAAGATGTGTAGAATTAAGGCCTGAAAAAACATTTGAGTATGTTTCTGAAGGCTTTCGTAAAGAATTAAATACATAGAGAAGCTGCCACTTGCTAAGAAAAGTTTGGCTCGAATCCTAATCATCATTCTGTTATTTTTGTTGTGTTCTAAGTATTTTCAGGCCACTCTACTTTTTTATTTTGCATAAACAATTCCTTTAATCCCCCAAATAGTGTGATTAAAGGAATTGTTTATGCAAAATAAAATTGCAGTATCATTTAAAATTTAAAATTGCAGTATCATTTAAACTCTAATCTGGACATTCATTCACCTTTTGTTAGGGAACTATCAGACAATGTATATTTTAGCTGGATGTTTTACAGTTCTTAAACAAAAACAATTATTTTGATTTAGTTTGACTTGAGCATTAATTGGATCCTAACCGATCATCCTTTGGTGCAATGAGCAAACACTGGAGAGCTGTCCATGGTTCTAAATTAAATTACGCGACTAAATACAAATGATATAGAGTTTAATTAACTGACTATTTATGAACCCCATTTTTGGTGTTTGAGGAATGATTATGTAGTTAAGTATGTTTTCATATGTAATATTTTTTAATGAAAAGAAAGCAATGAAGTTGATGGACTTACAAAAAGTTAACTTCCAATAATTTATCTGCAATGAGTAATTTAAAGAAGTACAGTTTGCATCAAAATTATGAGTTATTAATGGGACAGAATAAAAACATCATAACAGAATCATCAGTACATATGACCAATACTAAACATATGTTGTTGATATATATATATATATATAATTTTATTTTTATATCATAAAAACAGTAGGAGAAATGTATTTTGTCCACACGGTGTCGTAACATATCTACACTTAAAGAGACAGTCCCCCGTCAGAGCAAGCCCTTTGTTTGCTCTTCCAACGCGTAAGGCACATTTAAGGAATGAACGGGAGATTTGGGAGTCCATTTGGGATGCATTCATGATGAATTAAGTATTTAGAATAGTACAAGTGAAGGCTTGCTTGATCGAATGAAGATGGAAACTTGGACAAAATCGAGTGCCTACAGTTGGCGTTTTTTTATTTTACTTCTGCTGATGTTCACAAATCAGGTTGCGGCGGAACTACGGTATTCTGTTCCAGAGGAGGTAAAAGAAGCAACTCTGGTTGGAAATATTGCCAAGGATCTTGGTCTGGAAAAATCACATTTAACTGGTCGAAAGATGCGAATTGCTTCCGGATCTGAGGATACGTTTTTCTTTGTTAACAAGGATAACGGGGCCTTACAGGTTCGTAAAAAAATTGACAGAGAGGAGCTTTGTCACGGTAGTGGCGCGTGCTTGGTGGAGCTTAAAATTATTGTCGAAAACCCGTTGGAGATGCACCATGTTGTTGTTGAAAACTCAGATGTAAATGATCACTCCCCAAATTTTACAAAAACAGAGCAACATTTTCAAATAGCTGAACATACTTCTTTAGGAGCACGATTCCAGCTGCAAGCGGCTCGTGACCCGGATGCAGGAGTGAATTCAATCCGAACCTACGTGCTATCCTCAA